CAATCGCCGAGGCAACTGCGCCAAACCTGGCGACCATCTCGTCGAGAGGCTGCAGAAGCATGGGGTCCATGAAGACCGCGGCGAAGGCGTCTCCAGCGTCCTGCATCTCCTGGGAACAACGCCCGTCAAGGTGAAGGACTCGGGGCGCTCGATGCAGCACAGCGACATCTGGTGCTTCTGCAACCACGGCGGGAAGCCAAACTCGATCGCAGCTTGGACAAGACAGGCGTGGGACACCGCGAAGGTCTTTGACAGGGCCAGCAGGATGCTGGCAGAAACCCAGTCTTGATCTGGATGAAGGTCAGCCATCATCGCCATCCATTCTGACCGAACATGCTGCTGCCACGCTGCCCTGTCACATGAGCACCCTGAGCAAGCCGGCCAGTGCGGTCTGTCGTTGGCCCTCTTCCGCTGCTGCATGATCGGCCGCCTCAGCCCGCCGTGGGCCCTGACCATCGCCGCCAGCAAAGCGATAGGTCGAATGCCTCCATCAGCCTTCGGGATGAGCGCCATATCGATGATGTGGCTGGGCCAGTCGGCCTGCTGCCCGGTGGTCATCATCAAAAAAATCAATGAGAGCTCCAATGCCTAGATCATCCAACAAATCGAACTCACCCGGCCGAGTGCTGCCAACATTGGACCCAAACTGCGGCTTGGAAGCGGAGACCACTTTCCGCAACTCAGCCACAGAGGGCCTACCAAGGCGCTCTCCGAGGTCCTCAGGCCAGGACACTCGGTGCCTCGCAGGCTCAGGCTCTCGCGGGGTTTTCGCAGCGGGACCCTCAGAGCCCCGGGAATGCTCGCTGCCGGTTCCACCGGGGACGGCCCCCTGCATCCATTTCAACCTGCCGATTTCACCAGGGACGCCCCCTGCAAAGATAACGCGCTGCCGATTTCACCAGGGGCGGCCCCCTGCGTCGAACGCGCGCGGCCGATTTCACTAGGGGCGGCCCCCGGCGAAGATATATGGCTTCCGAGACGCGGGCATTTGAAGTCCTCTGCTGGGCTCGTCGCCATGGAAGCACTGGCCGCGCATGTGGGCGACGACCATCTCTCGGCCCTCGACGAGGCCGGCGATGCGCCCGGCGATCGTCTGCCCAGTCCTCCGCCGACTCCTCGCGCAGCCTGGCAAGCCGACGGCGGTGCCAGTCTCGATTGGATTGCTGGTTGTTCCAGATCTCCGCGCACAGCTCGTTCGCCATGTCGAAAGCGGCAGCATTGGGGGTTGCCCTCATCACAACGTCTGGCGCGATCGCACAGTAGCGGCAACGGCATGGGGTGGCTGAGGAACTTCGCCGCGTGCGGCACGCAAGTGTAATGCTAATCGCTCTCTTCGTTGATGCAGCCAGCTCGCGTCTCCACCGTGGGGCCCACCAGCCAGCGCCTCGCCCGGGACCGCAGCGCCCGTCGGAGTGCGCGGCGCGCTTCGAGGGCATCTTGCCGAACAGTATCGGCGCGCCGCGGGCCTCATAATCTGGAGCCGCGATGGCGTCGCGAAGAGCAGCCATCTCGTCTGACCAAAACCGACTGGCCAGCGGGGGCGGTGGAGCCTCTGCAGGCTGGTGCCGCTGCTGGCTGGGCCCTGGCCCAGGAGGCGTGGCGGGCTGCGTCGCTCCCATCGGGCGGGGCCGCGGCGACCTGGCTGGCCTCGGGTGCCACCGCGTCCAAGTAGTCGGTCCACTCCTTGACCAGGGCCTGCAGGCTCTGCTGGGCAGTGGGCGGAGCCTCGCCCTCAACTTTGGCTGGCCTCGCATCCCACGACTGCGCCATCTTGGTGGCGGCGCGGGTGCCGCCCGAGCGTGGGGCGCCCAGTCGTTGTAGTTCCGCCGCGCCTGGTCGAGATCGCGTCTGACCATCTTCTCTGGCCTGGAGAAGCAGGCGGCGCTCAAGATGCCAAGCTGCTTTAGCGGAAAACCAGATGCGCCGCTGCCGAGTGCACCGATCGCACCCTGCAGCTCCGAAAGGTTGGGCGGCGGCTCGCTGCGCAATCGCTCGTGGGCCTTCAGCGCCCCCCCCCCCCCCCCCTTCTGGAGAGAAGCTTGTCGATCTGCGCGGCATTCCGCAGAAGAGGGCAGCGGGCCCGCGCCAGGTCGCCGCTCCCGCGACCCCCGGAAGCCTTGGCGGAGACGCGGCCGCAGCAGATGTGACCGCAGGCCTGGGGCGATCAGCGCGCCCAACGTAGCAGTCGAGCTCGTGAGTGAGCCCGCGCGCGCCGACCATGTTGTTCTCGGCTTGCTTGACTAAGATCTGCCACGCGCGGTCTAAGTCGCAGGCCTGCTCGAGCACGTCGCGCACCGCCTGGAACGACATGCCAATGGCCCGGGCAGCGGCAGGCGCTTCGCCGAGCGCATGGCGGCAACGTTCATGGTGCTTGTCTGGCCCGAGTAACTCGAGCGCATCAGGGCAATGCGGGCCGAGGCCGAGCCCGTGGACGACGGTGGCCATGGCGCCTCGAAGGAGCATCGAGACCACAAAGAAGGCGATGATCCTGCCAGCGGGCCTGCAGGCGGGCTCCGACGGGGTTGCCGCCGCCGCTGGGGCCGCTTCCAGCCAGCCCGATTCTGCCGAGACGGACGACCCCATGTTGAAGTCACCGCAAATAGCGAACGGCCTGTCGTGGTCTGCAGGGCCACGAGGACCGCTTGGAGCGCGTCGGCGCTGCTCCTGTTGGGCCCGACGTTGGCATCCATATAGAGGTTGACCCGCGCAATGCCGCCTCTGCAGACGCCGCTGAAGTGGGCGATGAAAGCTCGGCCAGGCCCCGGCGCGGCCGGCTTGCCGAGCAGCTCGAAAAGTCCGAGCCCGAGATGACGAGGCGCCGTCTCGATGGGCCGAGCCCGCCGCTGCCCTGGCGACATGGGCCAGCATTGATGACTGGCGCGCTGGTTCGGTGACCCAACCGAGCCTTCGAAGCTGCCCCTTGTACGTCGCGCGCACATTGGCTGTCGAGGCGCGTCTCCTGGACGTCGACGAACTCGCAGCACCTGACCGCGGCCGTGCCCAGGAGCTGGGAGAAACGAGACCACGCGTTGCAATTGACGGTGGTGCCGGTCCACCAGCGACCCGACTGAGCTTCTGCCCGCTTGAACAGCCAAGAAGAACGATTGCCTCCGATGGCCGCGCTGAGCTGGTTACCCGCTCGCGGTCTTGAAGCGCTTGGCCGCCCGAAGGGTTCCGAGCGCCTCTTGGAGCCGCTTCTTCTCCTTCTCATCGGTGGCGCTGCCAAGGAGCCCGCCTGGGTCGTCGCCTGCCATGAAAATGTCGAAGTCGCCGTCGGCATCTGAATCCCCCATGTCGGTGTCTCTGGCGCTTGCTGCCCCAGCGCCAGCGCCTTGGCCTTCAGGAGGCCCGGCACGCATTGGCTCAGGTGCAGGTCGAGAATGTGAAGCAGCTGACGCCAGCTCGTCGTGGAGGGTTGAGAGACTGGCCAGAACCTCGGCTCCCGTCTTGCCCTCTGCGGGGATAGCTGCGACCTTCTCTTTGACCGTGTTAATCGTCGTTAATCGTCTCGTTCGCCGTCGTGCCCAAATGGACTTTGGCAGCCTGCTTCTTGGCCTCCTCGAGCACGGTCTTGCGCTGGGCAAGAGTGCGCTCAGCGTCCGCCGACGCTTCCAGGGCCTTGCGAAAGCTCTCCATGAACCGCTCACGTTCGGCGCTGGCGTCGGCCACTGCCAGCGAGGCCTGGTGCCTGATCGACTGCCAGAGGGGGCCTCCGAGCTTCCGACCCCGCTGCGCCAGCGGCTGTCTTTCGACGTGCCAGCTCGATTTTGCCCCGACCGCTCCTGGGAGAGTTCCTGCTTGATGACTTCGCTGGACTCCACGGCCATAGCTGGGCAGGCTGCGGTGAGGGTGGCGCGGCCACCAGGGGCTCCCCTGTTAGGCCCAAGCCCCTTGCCGCCGCGACCTTTACCTCCGCCCTTGCCGTTGCTAGCTTGCTGGGTCCACGGTGCACTCGCTCTGCCTCCGCCCACGGCCCACTTGCCCCACGGCTTGTGGGGGTCACCTGCCGCTGGCACGTGATGATCGTTCTGGGTGTCTTTTCAGGCCAGCCTCGATGCAGAGAGAAAAAGAAGAGAGAGATGCTGGGGCGTATAGCCACCGCAGCGCACGCTCTGCCAGCACTTTGCCACGGAGGCCACAAGGTCCACGCGACCAGCAAGGACCGAATAATGATTGCGCACCATCGGGCAGAGGGAGGCAGGTGCGTGCGGAAATGGGTGCGGCGCTGCCATGCGAGCGCAACCGCTGGGGCCTGCTGTGGAAATCCCTATGGAGCTACGAAGCGTGTGATGGGTGTGCGAAAACGTGTTGCGATGATGGTGACGATGAAGGCGATGACGATGACGAGTCTTATGTTGATGCTGATGATAGGAGGAGGGAGGGGTCAGCGGGAGGAGGATGGGGAGTGAACGCGGAGACCGTCTCTTCAAAACGAGGACCCAACACCACAGGATGACTGGGAAAAAAAAATGATAATTTCCGATCCCTCTCCGAAGCCGTGGAGAGCTTCTCGAAAGGCCGGAGGAGGGCTTCCGAGACGCCCGGTGCCTTCTGAGACGGCCTGCCCCCCCCCACTTCTCCTTTGGCACGGCGCCGAGGAAGAAGCCACTGCAGAAACAACGAGTTTCGGAGCTCCGCACGGAGTTCTTGGAGATCCGCGCGGGTGTCTTGGCTCGGCGCCGCCCCGAGCGTCGCCCGAGCCGCCACGGAGGGGGGCGGGTTCCAAGATATCAGGGCGGACCTCCGGAGAGTACGTGCATGTTTGTGCATCTATTCCCCGTCTGACACGTGCACCTGCCGGAAAAAAAACGCCAGAAATCTGAATCGACGATCCTATCGAGCATCGAGCCGGCCAGAATCGATGTCGAAACGGATCGATCGGATCGGGATGGACACTGACCTCGGCGTTCGGGGCCTACCCCGGCTCTTCGGCTTTCGGGTCACAGCCCGGGTCATCCCCTTTGGGTTCGGGTCGCAACTCGGGCCCTCCCCTCGCACGCCTTCAGGCACGTCATGCAGAGCACGCAGTCGCGGTTGTCGGTCAGGCTCGCTGGGTGGGAGTACAGCGGGCACCCAGACGTCTCCTGACCCTCGCCCTCGGGGGGCCCACCCTTGTAGCAGTGGTAGGTGCTGCACTCGGCGTTGCACTGCCCCCGCTCCGAGCGCAGCTCCGTGAGCGACAACTTTGCGTAGAGCCCGTTCATGCCGCCGATGGGGCACAGGTGCCGGCACCACATGCGGCGCTCGAAGAACCAGGAGCAGATCACGGCCCCCGCGGTGATCAGGAGCAGGAGCCACGCCGAGAGGTACGCCGTGTTCTCCAGATTCCAGACCTTGTCTTCTCTGTGTGATTCCAACCAGGTGTTTTTGTTTGTCCAGTCGTGTTCCAATGGTAAGAAATGTAGACGCAGCCTGAAGTGAGCCTATGATCTTACGCTGCACGACACTTCTCAGACGAAATCAACTTGAAAAGCATGTGCAACCAATGAAGTCAATTTGATAAGCACCAGGAGGAAATTCAATTTGTAAATCCCCACGCGTGAAATCAATGTGCAATCCCTTTGCACATTGGGATTTCCAATGGCAGAGCCGTGGGGCCGCGGGAGCTTACCAGGAGAACAAGAAGAACCGGAACCACATGACGAACAATTAGTTGTGGGACGTTCAAATGGAATGCGGGGCTTTTGACTTCGATTCCGTTGGAGAAATGCAATGACCGATGCACGTGCAGATCACGAGGAAAAAATCCATCGAACAACATCCTGGAATAATCATACAAACAAAGGGTCTCACCCGTAGGACCCTCCCCCTACTCCTCTTCTCCTTCGCACCGGGCGCGTCTGTAGGGCGGCCTGGCGTTTTGCCTGAGACGTCCTTACCATCCATGATCCCGAAACTTGAACCCATAATATCTGCACTTATGGAACACAAGCTGCTTTCAAAATACGCTCTCGAATTAGCGAATTAGCGCCGTGCAACTTCGTCTTCAAACATTGCAGCAATTCTAGGGGAAGAGCACTGAACACACATTGTTTCAAAATCGGGTTACCGCCTCAGCGCCGCCCACATTCGCCACACAAGCTTGCAATTAACCAGCCCAACGGGCCAGAGGCGTGCTAAGATCTCCGGCAACTGCTTTACAGTATTTCTATTTTGCGCGCGGGGGGCGGCCCCTGGGGGTCCCCGGAGGAAAAATACTCCGCCAAGGTCCCGGGAAGGTCGGATCAGAGATGGTTTTCCGTCTGGGCGCCGCCCTCGAGACCCTCCAGAGAGCCCCAAGAAGGGTAAAGATGCCTCCAAGAGGGCCCCTAAGTGGTACAAGAGGGCTCGAAGATGCCACAAAATCGCTCCAAGACGCCCAAGATGGCCCCCAGACGCCCCAAGAGGCCTCCAAGAGTACTCTCAAGAGCGCCCCAAGATGCAAAATTTATTGCTTTTCCTTAGGTTTGGGGAAGATTTTGGTGTTTCCACCTTTTCGGCTTCCCGACGCCCCAAGACTGCCCAAGAGGCCCCCAAGATCGCCCCAAGAGGGCCCAAGAGGCCCCCAAGAGGGCCCCAAGACGGCTCAAGAGGGCCCCAAGACGGCCCAAGAGGGCCCCTGGAGCGCCCCAAGAGCGGCCCCAGAGGGGGAGCACGAAACAACATTTCGAGCACTCGGTCCTGAGAGGCCCCCAGGAAGCCCCCAGAGGCCCCTAAGAGGCCCCAAGAGGCCCCCAAGAGCCCTCAGGAGGCCCCCAAGACGCCCCCAAGAGGCCCCCGAGCGGCCCCAGGAGGTCCCCCCATTGCGTGCTGTCACAACGCCCCCGGGACACGACCACAGCCCAGCCACGCCGCGCGCCCCACCATCACGCAGACAAACGCCGCCCAAGGCACAAAACGGGCTGGCGGAATGACGAAGAGCGACTTATTTCCAAATTATCCCGGCAAAGCAACCTAACATCGATGTGTAGGAGCATATCTGGAAGCATTCCCCTTAAGATTCGGATGAGAATCCAGCTGTAGAATTCTGCTGTTCTCGCAGTCGTAGTCGCAATCGCGATGACAGTCGCAGTGGCAACGGCAGTCGCAGTCAAAGCCTCAGCCTCAGCCTGCCTCAGCCTCAGCCTCAGCCTGCCTCAGCCTCAGCCTGCCTCAGCCTCAGCCTCAGCCTGCTTCAGCCTCAGCATCAGTCTGCCTTCAGCCTCGGCCTCAGCCTCAGCCTGCCTCAGCCTCAGCCTGCATCAGCCTCAGCCTCAGCCTCAGCCTCAGCCTCAGCCTGCCTCAGCCTGCCTCAGCCTCAGCCTCAGCCTCAGCCTCAGCCTCAGCCTCAGCCTGCTTCAGCCTCAGCCTCAGCCTGCTTCAGCCTCAGCCTCAGTCTGCCTTCGCCTCGGCCTCAGCCTCAGCCTGCCTCAGCCTCAGCCTGCATCAGCCTCAGCCTCAGCCTCAGCCTGCCTCAGCATCAGCCTGCCTCAGCCTCAGCCTCAGCCTCAGCCTCAGCCTCAGCCTCAGCCTGCTTCAGCCTCAGCCTCAGTCTGCCTGCAGCCTCAGCCTCAGCCTCCGCCTCAGCCTGCCTCAGCCTCAGCCTCAGCCTCAGCCTCAGCCTCAGCCTGCTTCAGCCTCAGCCTCAGCCTTCAGCCTCAGCCTGCCTCAGCCTCAGCCTGCATCAGCCTCAGCCTCAGCCTGCCTCAGCCTCAGCCTCAGCCTGCTTCAGCCTCAGCCTCAGCCTCAGTCTGCCTTCAGCCTCGGCCTCAGCCTCAGCCTGCCTCAGCCTCAGCCTGCATCAGCCTCAGCCTCAGCCTCAGCCTGCCTCAGCATCAGCCTGCCTCAGCCTCAGCCTCAGCCTGCCTCAGCCTCAGCCTCAGCCTGCTTCAGCCTCAGCCTCAGTCTGCCTTCAGCCTCGGCCTCAGCCTCAGCCTGCCTCAGCCTCAGCCTGCATCAGCCTCAGCCTCAGCCTCAGCCTGCCTCAGCATCAGCCAGCCGCATCAGCCTCAGCCTGCCTCAGCCTCAGCCTCTGCCTCAGCCTCAGCCTGCTTCAGCCTCAGCCTCAATCTGCTTCAGCCTCGTTCTCAGCCTCAGCCTGCCTCAGCCTCAGCCTGCATCAGCCTCAGCCTCAGCCTCAGCCTGCATCAGCATCAGCCTGCCTCAGCCTCAGCCTCAGCCTGCCTCAGCTCAGCCTCAGCCTGCTTCAGCCTCATCCTCAGCCTGCCTTCAGCCTCGGCCTCCGCCTCAGCCTCAGCCTCAGCCTGCCTCAGCCTCAGCACGCCTCAGCCTCAGCCTCAGCCTCAGCCTCAGCATCAGCTGCCTCAGCCTCAGCCTCAGCCTGCCTCAGCCTCAGCCTCAGCCTGCTTCAGCCTCAGCCTCAGCCTCAGCCTCAGCCTGCTTCAGCCAAAGCCTCAGTCTGCCTTCAGCCTTGGCCTCAGCCTCAGCCTCAGCCTGCCTCAGCCTCAGCCTGCATCAGCCTCAGCCTCAGCCTCAGCCTCAGCCTGCCTCAGCATCAGCCTGCTTCAGCCTCAGCCTCAGCCTGCCTCAGCCTCAGCCTCAGCCTGCTTCAGCCTCAGCCTCAGTCTGCCTTCAGCCTCGGCCTCAGCCTCAGCCTGCCTCAGCCTCAGCCTGCCTCGGCCGCAGCATCAGCCTGCCTCAGCATTCAAAATGTGGCCCGGGAATGGAGTTCTGGGAACTCGAAGAACACGAAGTGGCCTACAGTTGGCTCCGGGCATTCAAAATCATGCCCAGGAATGGAATTCTGGGAACTCGAAGATCACGAAGTGGCCTACAGTTGGCTCGGGGCATTCAAAATGTGGCCCGGGAATGGAGTTCTGGGAAATCGAAGAGCACGAAGTGGCCTACAGTTGGCTCCGGGCATCCAAAATGTGGCCCGGGAATGGAGTTCTGGGAAATAGAAGAGCACGAAGTGGCCTACAGTTAGCTCCGGGCATCCAAAATGTGGCCCGGGAATGGAGTTCTGGGAAGTCGAAGAGCACGAAGTGGCGTACAGCAGGCTCCGGGCATTCAGAATGTGGCCGGGGAATGGAGTTCTGGGAAATCGAAAAGCACGAAGTGTGTGACTGTATGCGAAAAACGATCCCCCCCGGCAAACCCCAACGGCCCCCCAACGGCCCCCAACGGCTCCCCAACGGCTGCAACGCAATTCCTTTTAGAACGGGGCTGTCGCCTGAATGGCATGCCCATCGGGTGCTGATATTTCAATGGGGCGCTTCTTGTACTGGGCAGGCTTGTTGTAGGGACTTGCGTGGAGGGGGCTTCGGACGGGAAGGTGCTTTGCAACATCGCTGGTGCATCTTGCGTGTGCTCTGGTCCTCCTCCTCCTCGTTCCTTCCTCCGCTAACTCCCCCTCCCTTTCCCGTCCCCTCCAACGACCCTTCTCCCCCTCCCCCTCACTTATCGTCCCCCTCCTCGTCCTCCTCCCTCCCCTCCTCCCTCTTCCTTCTCGGACCTCCTCCCAGAGCAAAATACCGAAGAAAAGCGCCACCAGGAACCACCCCCCGAACTGCTCGAGCCGCTGCGTGGGCCACCTCTGCAGCACGGCCCCCTGCGCCACTCGCCAGCGCTGCACCACCTCCCCGTAGATCATGACGGTTGGCGGCGCGCCCACAAGGGGTGGTTTGAAGGGAACGGCCCTCTAATCGGGTCGGGCGAAAAGGGGGGATAGCAAAGGGGGGGGTTGAGAATCAGCTCACGTAGCTGATTTTCCCGGCGCCTCCCTGCGCCGGAGGCGGCTATGTATCGAGGAATGGGCTCCTCGGTGAGGCCGAAACCAACTGCATGCAACAAATTTCGTACCCCCCCCCTTCCCAATCCCCCCCTAAGAGGGCGGGGGAGCTTCTTAGAATCGGCGGTGCCACGGCGGGGCCTCGAGGGATGGGGCCCCGAAGACCTGGTGTCTCAAACGTGCAAGGTCCGGCCTGGATCCCCTCCTGCAACCGACCTGCAGAACAGGGGCGCATGATGAGGATGCAACGGGCCCTGGAAGGCCATGCCGGCACTCTGCGATAGGGGGGCTCGGCCAGCGAAGGCGGCCAGGGAGGGGCCGGAGGGGAGGAATGCAAGGGGTCACCTTGGCAAACGGTTCATCCAGTATACTGTGCGGATGGACTGTGCCCTCAGAGCCCCGCCCTTCGGGGCCACGCCTTCGAAACATGGAGAAAAAGGCAAGGGCCTCCTCGCAATTACCAGACAACTCCTGGGGAGGGTGCTCGGAAGCCGGGAAGGTCTCTGAGACGCCGTCCACACTCTTGAAACCCAGTCTTATGTCGGCATGTCCTCCTACAGGCGATATGTGTCAGAAGTGCTATAATAAATCGTCAAAACATTTGTCCTCGTCAAACGTTTTGAAAATGCTTGGGGGGAACTCCAAATATAGTTCGGAAAAAGCCGCGGTCCTTGCTGGAGGATAATCCCCCACATGCTTCGTGGGGTTCTGGTTTTCTTCCCTGCCGCGTCGCACCCGCGTCTCACCTCACACCTCCCCTCCTCCTCACAGCACTGCTCAGCACAGCTTGGTCTCTCACCGCGGCGTCTATGCGTGCCAGGGTCGGAGAGCGTGGCAGGCGTGGCACTTCTCGACAGCAGGGGGGGTGCGTAGGGGGTGGTCTCTCACCGTGGCCCCTATGCGTGCCAGGGTCGGAGAGCGTGGCAGGCGTGGCACTTTCTCGACACCAGAGGGGGTGCGCAGGGGGTGGTTTCCCACCGCGGCCTTTACGCGTGCCAGGGTCGGAGAGCGTGGCAGGCGTGGCACTTTCTCGACACCAGAGAGGGTGCGCAAGGGGTGGTCTCTCACCGCGGCGTCTATGCGAGCCAGGGTCGGAGAGCGTGGCAGGCGTGGCGCTTTCTCGACAGCAGGGGGGGTGCGTAGGGGATGGTCTCTCACCGCGGCCCCTATGCGTGCCAGGGTCGGAGAGCGTGGCAGGCGTGGCACTTTCTCGACACCAGAGAGGGTGCGCAGGGGGTGGTCTCTCACCGCGGCGTCTATGCGTGCCAGGGTCGGAGAGCGTGGCAGGCATGGCA